ATCAATCAATAAATAATAACGAAAGTAGTAAATCAACACTAGAATGATCACGAAAAAATCCAACTGAAAAAACTCCGGGCACTTTGCTAGTCAACAATCTACTATAAACGATATGTAACTTACAGTCTACCAGCCTAGACGACAACACATACTATTTGATCTCCTGACTGCAATTCCAACAGCTTTTCTGGATTCTGTGCTCCTGCACCACTCCCAGCTGTAGTTTTTAAAACTCTCCTGGATACTGTTCTCTTGCAGCAACTCCTAACTTTATGGAATCATCTATTTCCCGTGGATCAACAAAGAACACCACGTTCTTCACAAACTGGAACTCCAGTCGAAATTTATCAATCTTCAGGACTCTAATTAGATGTAGAGGAAAAGCAGTTTGTTATTTAGATTATGAGAATGATGTTTTTCTCACCAAAACAACCAAAGCATATGAAGGTTGAAAGAAATAATTGATTTTTTCTCACAGATGAAGCTCTCTCAATGTTCAACCTCATGAATTTCGTACAGAAGTGTTTTGGTATATATAGGTATGTTAGAAAAATAAATGGGCCAGAGAAAAAGCCTTTAAAACACGAAATAAAAATTTCCTGAATAGTCGAGCGACAACATGTCGCTCGAGCGAAGGTGGGGCGACAGTCCAACGACGATGTTTCTATTTTTGTAGTTCAAGCCAAACCTTGGTGACAGTTTAGCGAAAATCCGCACCGTTTTCCTATTTTGCCATTCTCGAACCCTAAACCTAAGAACCCTATTTTCAACGTATTTGCACATTACTCGACTTTTTAAATATAGTACAATTCAGTCATTTTGTTTACAGAATCGTCAATTACAAAATATTGAAAACCTAACAATTAACATACATTATCATCACAAATTATCAAATCCCTAGAGATTAACATTACCCAAGAAGGAAAAAAGATTGATTTCATCTCCATATCTTGTAGAATTCCAAATCAAACCAAGGTAATTTGAACAATTTTGAACTTATTTCCCTTATCTCGGAGCACGACAACATGTTATGCTTAAGTTCATACTTTCGTCCACTATTTGTGTCCCCCGTTTCTATCCCCCTCTTCCCGTCCCTAAATTTATTAACACGTGCGATTTGTTTGGGCTTTAAATGACTTTTTCAAGGTTGATCTTTATCTAATGATTGCTAATTCTTCATTTTGTAAGAATATGGCACCCAAACATAAGGATCCACCTACTTCGAACAAAGGAAAGGGGAAAGATATTGGTTCTTCATCTATGGCATCCACCCGTGTGGATGACGAAGGGATCCATCATTTTCTTTTAGAAGAGCATCGAACCAAATTCAACAATGTGGTTTCCCAACGTAAACTTTGGTGTGAATGGTGGTGTGTTGACATACTTTTTCCACTTCGAGATTGATCGGTTGGTTCGCATTGTTGGTTGGGAAAAGGTGACTGAGGTTCACGTTCGGTGTACCCAATGCTCATCCAAAAGTTCCTCACGAACTTCAACAACGAGTTGGACACTTGCATACTACCGGTTCATTGAGGTTGATCAGATTGAGGATAGCACAGGCATAGGCAGACGTACATCCACAGGGATAACAGTCAGCCCTTGAGGTTTTAGGGGCATCCACACCCAACGCCGGTCCCGTGATTTTGGGGGCCTAAGGCGAACTTCATAAATTATGCCCCTCAAAATTGTAGTATGCATGCAAAATCTACAAGTATATTATGGACAAATTGTTAACTTACAACTTAACAGTAAAACAACAAGCAAAATATATTAAATAAAAGATTTATATTATAATCAAATAACAAAGTCGACGGTCTTCAAAATCCCTAAATCAGAAAACACAATTAATTATTGGAATCTCAATATTAATTTTGCTTTTCCGAGCACATTACAATTACAGCAGATGGAATCATATAGAAATTTCAAATAACAAGGGTTCAGTCAATTTGAAATGCATCTATAAAGAATTATCATACTAAATGGTTAGGTCTACTTGGAGCGTGTGGTCTGTAGTTCCAAGTCCTGGCCCACCTTCAAGGCAGCTTGGCCAACTTCAATACCACTACATCTGTGCAAAACCATATTTTGCCATTTTCCCACTGGTCCGTTTTGTAAGCATTCAAAACATACTAAGGGTATCAGTTGAAGTTTGAAATCAAGATGCATAACTTGTTATACAGAAGGCTATCATCTAATCATCAATTTGAAAACTTATAATTCCCTATAATATAAAACTTAATCACTTGAAAATAAGAAAAAATGTCAATTATCAGCAGTTTAGGGTATCACACATATTAGCACATTGGCCATGATCAATAGACAACAAAATAAAACCTCAAATTTCAAGGAACCATCAGCAGGCCAAGTTTATCACCATTAATAAAGACACTTTTCAATAAAATAGCCCTATTCAACCCATTTCATCTGAGAAATGTTCGATGCAAAAAAAAGAGAAGAAGTAATTCTAACCTAGAAACACACTATCTGTAAAT